AATATATTTCGGATAATCCACATTAGTGGTATTCTATTAATTTTGTCATTAAAAAGCACATTTCTTAACAAATTCTGAAACAGAATGTACCATAAAGGCTTTGCCATAATTTTCATTTTTTATATTACATAAGGAAGGAGTGCATTCATTAGTTAGATAAAAAGTATTTTGGTACAATGTTTAAAATGTATTTTCAAGCTAGATAACCAGAAATATTCTTAAGCAACTTGCCATGGCTTTAAAAGTAGATCCAAGATTTCATCATAAGTGTTAAAACATATGCAATTTCAAAACAAAACATGTCACAATCCATATGTTAAAAGTACACATAGATTAGAAAAGAAAAAAAGTCACCTCACATATTGTCTATTACTCTGCGTAGAGTTGCAACCTCTTCTTCCAGTTTGCAATTCTTTTCAGTTAGCCAAAATATAATTATAAAGATCCATTTCAATAGCATTTAAGTCTGTGCGATATCAATACAGTCTGGCCATTCTGTTAATAACCACTTGCTCCACATAAGCAATGCATACATACCTGGTAAAGAAGGTTCTCCTCCTCCTCCTTGCACCCATCATCTTCATCTTTGTTGGATGCAACTTTTGGAGGTGCCTTAGTACCATGCACTGCCAGTGCTCTCTTAACTCTGGTGCTGGTGATCTGCTTTGGGCTTGGGTGGTGCAGTGTAGGAGCCAGGTTGTAATATGCCACACTGTGCCATCTTCCAGGGTTGTAGTGTTGCAGACTTTTCACATGGGCTGAATCTCAAATCTGGAAAGACACCACCTCCTAAACGCAGGCAACACTATCACGGAACTGCTGAAAGATAACCCCTTCACCTATTAGTATTACTTAAAACCGATACCTTGTCAGAAATACGAAGTACCAATCACTATAAAAACTGGCCATAGTGTCACACTGGGCCATCTCTTAAAGGTTTTTTTTTTTTATTGAAACTGCTAGGGTAACCTACCAAGTAGCAGAAAAAATCTTAACGCGTTTATTTTTATTTATTTAGTTATTTTGGAAACTACGATGAAATTACATTGACTCTGCAATGATGCTTTACTTTACTGTGGTATGGTACTCATATGTATGTCATGTGATTGTTTTAAAGTCATTAATAGCAGGGTTGGAAACTCCTCCTAAAATTCAACCAGACAGCAGGACAGGTTACTCTTGAAAGTTACCCGTCCTACCATAAACCAGCCTGTCCTCATAAAATCGACAGGACTATGATAATACAGTGCATGTATGACTAAATTTAATAATTCAAGACATTTTTGAATGTTGTTTTCTTTCAAACTTCATAAATAAAAGTCATAATACCAGTGCTGTCTTGATACCAAAGAATCAAATTTATTTTTATATTCAGTTATGTTCTGTCCCCCCACCCATACATCATGGAT